CCCTCCCCATCACTGACTCTCCCCACCCACTGAATCCCCCTCCCACACCCCCATGTGTATTCCTACCCCATTGTTTAACTAATTGTGGAATACGCAGAGGCCGAGGTGCGGAATGGGTCGGTTTGGATGGTCCTGCGTGTTGTGAGGCAGTGCTGAGGTTCTACTCCAGTCTGCCCTGATGAGCCTTGGGCTATGGGCACAATGTTGTCCAGAATATGGGACAATATTTCAGCTGCCTCAATCATGCTCAGCGACCAGACGCTCCAATATCCGGAGTGATCTAAGGATTGGACGATGTGAGGTTGGGCTTGGGGAGGGGGTGGTGCTGCAGATTTTTATGGGACGTATTGCCTTTCTCATCTGCACCTTTTGGTACAGACCCTCAGGGTGCGTTTCACTGTGTGGGCAGTTCCTGACGATGCAGCACCCTCCCGGCGCTGCATTAGGTCTGCAAGCCTGCATTGGAGACGCGGATTCCGTACCAACAAGGATCCCGTCCCAGGAGATAGTAAGAGCTGCAGACGCTGGAGTCAGAGATAACACAGAGTGTGGAAGCTGGAGGAACACAGCAGGCCAAGCAGCATCAGGGGAGCAGGAAAGCTGACCTTTCGGGTCGGGACCCTTCTTCAGGAAAGGATCCCCGTTCCAGCTCTGTAGCACGGGGAGCAGAAAGATCCCATGTGTCCAGTCTGACCCCCTCAAACCTTGATCCTCCCAATCTGTCTGGGGGGAATAAATACACCACATTCAGGGTCAGGAGACAATGTGCTGTGCCCGATACTTACACTAGGTGGCCTCTCATTTCTATTTAAAAGGGAATACTTCTGAAGTTTACGTCTTCCTGCTTTGCTGGTCATTATGTTCTCTCGGCCTCTCTCTCTCTCTCCTATTCTGTCTGTCTCTCTCTCTGTCTCTCTGTCTCTCTCTGTCTCTCTGCAGGTATTTTATTTGTTCAGGCTGCACCTGCTAAGGGCTGATTGTGATCTGCGGTTTTCCCCGAGGTAACCACGCACATGTCATTATTTCAGCTGTTTGTGGTGTAAAATGTTTGCAGACCTCTGCTCCCCCCCCCCCCCCACCCCCCATTAATCTCCCCTCAGAGCTGAGGTCACCTTTACCCATCACCCCGGAGACCACACAGCCAATTGTGACTTCACAGTCAGAATCTTGACATCGCCTCCGGGGGTCCCCCAAACCGCCCCCCCACCCTCCATCCAACTCCCACCTCAAGGGGTTTGGGGGCAGAAATGAGGGAAGGAGCGATGACACCCCAGAGAAAGGTGTAATGCAGGGGGAGGTGGACATGTGTGGAGGGATCCCAGAGGGGCTAGGGGTGGGTGGGGGTGCAGATGGGTGGGATTGGGACTGGGCAACTGGACGGGGGCGGGGTTGTGAGGATGGGGGGTATGGGAGGGCGATGGTCTGCAGGGATTAAGAGACGGACTGTGGTCAGAGGGTCCTGGGGATATAAACATTGAGATTGTGAAGGGCTTCAGGAGGGCAGGTGCAGAGAAGATGTTTTGATTTTGGGAGGGGGGGGATGCTGATCAGAACCCAGGGCCATCTATACAAGATCGTCCATGATAAATCCCCAAGAAAATTCAGGATTCTATGTGTGTGTGTGTGTGTGTGGGGTGGGGCGGTGGTGGGAGTATAATGTGGGTGGTGCCAGCAAAGGGTCCGGAGAGAAAGGACAGCACTTTATTTTAAATTCATTCACAGGATGAGGGCATCACTGGCCAGGCCAGCATTTATTGCCCAGAGTCAACCACATTGCTGTGGGTCTGGAGTCACATGTAGGCCAGACCAGGCAAGGATGGCAGATTTCCTTCCCTAAAGGACATTAGTGAACCAGATGGGCTTTTCCAACAATCAGCAATGGATTCATGGTCTACATTATTAGACTAATTTTTTTTTACTGGATCTGCTGTGGCAGGATTTGAACCCAGGTCCCTAGAACATTCTGAGGAAGGCTCACTGGTCAGATGCTGCCAGACCTGCTGAGCTTTTCCAGCAACTTCTGCTTTTGTTTCTGGCTTCCAGCATCCACAGTTCTTTTGGATTTCCCACCCCCCCCAGAACACTACCCGAGTCTCTAGGCCAACAGTCCAGCAATAATACCAGTAGGCCATTGGGAGAGTGGTGTGTTTGGATTGAAAGCTGAATCGGGTTTGGGGTGGCCGTGGGAAAGTGGCATGGAGGAGGGTGCTGGGTAGTGTACATGTGAGGGACAACAAAGCCAGGCCCTTGCCGATTGAGGTGAGTATGACTGGGGTAGACCAGGGCAGTGGATGGGGGAGGTGGGGGTCACTGGCTGGGATCCTGGCTAAGAAAGGAGCAGGCTAAGTGCTGAATGGTCACACACTCTTCAGCACTCAGAGATAGTGCGAACTGCCGATGCTGGAGTCTGAGATAACAAGGTGTAGAGCTGAATGAACATAGCAGGCCAGGCAGCATCAGAGGAGCAGGAAGGGTCCTCTTTTCTGAAGAAGGGTCCAGACCCAAACGTCAGCCTTCCTGCTCCTCTGATGCTGCCTGGCCTGCTGTGTTCATCCAACTCTACACCTTGTTATGTCATATCATCAGCACAGTTCTGACAAGAATTATTGAGCAATTTTATTTTCTTTCACCATGGATTCTGTTCTAGCCAGTTCATCCAACCCTAACCAAACCATTGTATAAAATTAAATTCTAACCTCTCACGTCAAATTATCACAGGCTGACACATGCCCTTGCACCCATATCCTCATCATTGTGAAGACTAGTTCCACCTCTAAGCCAGGCCAAAGTTGCCCCTGTCATAGCTGATCCACTGCTGAAACCCTCACTGTTGCCTATGTTAGCCTCAGACTCAGTGACTTCAGTGTTTTCTCGACAGGGACCTCCCAGCTTCCAGCAGCTGTCATCCACACCGCGGTCAAACCTTCATAGTTCAGACCCACCACCCCCAATGCCCACTGACCAGCACTGACTTTTGGTTCAGCTCCTGGCTTCACCCTCCCTATCTCTGTCACCTCCTCTGGTCCCTACACCCCCTCCCTATCTCTGTCACCCCCTCCAGCCCCTATATCCCCTCCCTATCTCTGTCACCTCCTCCAGCTTCTACACCCCCTCCCTATCTCTGTCACCTCCTCCAGCCCCTACATCCCTTCTCTATATCTGTAATATCATCCAGCCCTTTCAAGTCTCCAAGACTATTTGGACCTTCACTGCAGTACTGGGCTTCAGCCGCCTGCATCCCAAGCTCTGGAGTTCCATCCCTGAACCCCTCCATCTTGTGCTCCCCTCCAGTAAGACTCTCCACCTGTGATTTCAGTCACCTGTCCCTCATGTTGCCTCATCTTTCTGAATGGCAGGTTCTGTTTGGTGGCACCTTGGGGTACTGTACTATTTAACGTTGCTACATGAATGCAGTTGTTGTTGCACCTACCCTCTCACAAGCCAAAGTCCGTTCCCCACCCATTGAACCAAAGCAGCCAGAATTCGGAGCTCCGCATTGTGTCTGCTCCTGGAGAAACAGGAAACCCTGGTCCCCAGACTATGTCCAATGCCTGACATCGATGGCACCATCTCTAGGTGATCTTGTGGCATGTGTGTGCCAACTGGCTCCACTCTCCCATTGGCTCAATTCTTTGGGCTTGTTAAGCCAATGAGAAGCTTCGGTTACTTCCCCTTCAGTCATCCTCCTTCATCATTGGCTGCCTCCCTCATGGGGATCCACTCGTTGGATTTTAGGGGAATCCAAGCAGCGGAGGGGGCATGTTGTTGGAAAACCCTTACTGATTCGGTCAAAGGTCATTGTGGTTCCCTCATTCGCTCCTGGCCAATTGTCTTGTGAATAGATGCCGCTGACTGGCTGGTCCCGTTCCCGCCCAGGGCTAATCGCCTCCTCTCATTGGCCAGAAATGCCGAGCCACACCTTTGCCCGTTGGCCGGTGCTCCAGCATCCCCTGTCTCCTATAGGCTCATCCCTCTGTCAATCAGGATGGGGACCCGCCTTTCGTCTGGCCTATCCGTTTTCTGATTGGTCAGTAGACCGTCAACCAACGCCTCCTGGGCTTTGATAGGTGGAGAGGAGCAAATGGGCGCAGGGGATGGGGGGGTGGCTGGATTGTGATTGGGCGACAGGGCTGTCAGTCAGGATCCGGGTACCGCCCCCGCCTTCCTGGGCGGATACAGTGTATCTCCCGGCGCTGGATACAGAGTATCGTCCAGTGGAGACAGTGTATCGTCCAGCGGAGACAGTGTATCCTCCAGCAGAGACAGTGTGGCCTTCACCCCCGGCACTGGATCCCGAGTATTCCCCATTGGAGACAGTGTACCCCTGTTCCTCCCCCCCCCCCCCCCCCCCCCCCCCCCCTTGAGGGAGTGACTCGAGCAGCAGCAGGCGGAGAGGGGCCGAATGGCGAGCGGGGATGAGCTGCCCCAGGCCGGGCCTACGGGAGGCCTCAGCCTGAGCCGCAGTGTGGAGAAGGCGCTGGACGAGGCGGTCAACAGCGGCGTGCTGAACCTCAGCAACAGAAAGCTGCGAGAGTTCCCCCGGGCGGCTAGTAACTACGACCTGTCTGACCTCACCCAGGCTGGTGAGTCAGGCTGGGCAATGGGGCAAGAGCACCTGGAGCAAGGTGTACACAGGAGGAGCTGGGATATGGGAGTTCTGTACAGGGGGAGCAGGGACATGGGGTGTACAGGGGGAATCTGAGGGAGCAGGGGGTGTACAGGGGGATCTGGGGGAGCAGGGGTTGTGCAAGGGGGAATCTGAGGGAGCAGGGGGTGTACAGGGGGATCTGGGGGAGCAGGGGTTGTGCCAGGGGGAAGCTGGGGGAGCAGGGGGTGTGGGAGGGGGGAATCGGGGGGAGCAGGGGGTACTGGAACTCAGGAAGCTGGAGAATCCTGTGGGAATGGGACTGTTGTGGTTTCTGAGTATGACCCCAATCCTGACCGTTTCCAGTTGAGACCACTCCTGGTAATCTCTGATTTGGGCAGCGGTGATGGTTTGTTGTGTATTGGGAGCCTTGGGGTACTTCCTGTGTTGTTTATTATCCACTCAGTTAAACTGAACTCCTCCAAACTTCTGTAACCTCAATCCTACTGATTCCCATTTCTGACTGATCTGTAAGCTTCCATTTTAAGATAGCCATCTATATTTTCAAACTTCATTGTTCTTAGCCTAGCCTCCTGCCTGATTTCTGTCACCCCCTCCAGCCCCTACATCCCCTCCCTATCTCTGTCACCCCCTCCTCCCCCTCCCTCCCCACCCTCTTTTTAAGATGATCCTTCAAACCGGTCTCTGGTTCCTGTTGTCCTGTCACTCTGACCTGCTTGTGGGCTTCAGCCTCCGAAATTGGATGTATCCTGGAAATAGTGGGATTACCCTGAGACGGGATCTGGCTGAACCTCATTCGTTGAGCCATGCCGTTCCCCATTCCCCAGGGGTCCCTGGGAGGAATCAGCTGAGCGAATAATTCAACTGGCTGGATCCTGGGGATTGAATATCCTTGACCCAATCACAGATATAGCTATGGGGCAGGAATCTACTCTTGGGGACACACAGGAAGCTGTTATCAGTGATCGTTTCAGGGCTGTGAGGAGGGTGCCTCCAATCCAGTCGGTGGTCTCTGGGCTGTGTGTGTGGGGGTGGGGGGTGATTTGGCTCTCAGAAGCCTGCCCTGTTTTGTTGTGGAGTAATGTTGTTGGTCAATATAGAAAGCTGGGGTGAATGTCACCTTCCTGCATTGATTTAATGGTATCTCACAGCATCACCCAAGCCCAACCGCAACAAGCCCCTTTCCTCAGCACTGCACCCCACCTCCCCTGCAATCGACCTGGAGAACCCAGAGTTTAAGCCCTGGGGTCGTGTGCCTTAGCTATCCCCTTGCCTCCCAGGAGGACTCGACAACGGCTCAGCAGGTGGTGGCCTTGTTTCAGAGAAAGAGCCATGACCCGAAACGAGAGGCTGCAGTGAGAACTCCAGACCAGTGTTTACTGGGTTAGCCTGAAGGAGGATCAGCGCTGAGTGAGCACTGTCTGACACTCCTTCAGGGTAAACGCACTGTCTGATGGGAGAGTGCTGAGGGAACTTTGTTCTGATTGTAAACCCCATGTAATCTCTGTTCTTGGAGTGTTTGATGGAACAGTGCAGGGGGAAGCTTTACTTACAGTTAATTTTTAGCCTTAGAGAATAGAGGGAGCTTTACTCCGATCTAACCCTGTGCTGTCCCTGTCCTGAGGGGAGGGGTTCTAACCAACAGCTCTGCTGAACATGACTTTTTCTAACAGGTCTCCTCACATTTCTTCTGTTCTGAGTCTGATGTCAGTCAGTCCCACTCCTTTGACCCATTACACTAACTGTCCTGGTACACAGTCTAAATTCCCTTTGATTACAATTCTGGTGCAAACTCTGTTTTGGAATTAGTGACTGGGGGATTTCAGTCTTTCATTGGCCTGACAGTATCGCTTTGATTTTTTTTTTGGTGACATCTGTACTTTGAAAAATAATTTTGGGCTGTGGGTGTCACTGGCAAAGGCACCAGTTATTAGTTGCTGCTGTTTGCAGTTCTCCTCCACTGAGTCAGTTGACTCTATTGCTGTGGATCTGGAGTCACGTAGACCAGAGACGGTGTTGGTGACAACCATTCTCCCCTAAAAAGTGCTGTGTATTTTTGACAGTCTAGCAGAGGGTTTCACATTGATGTTAGCTTGTCTCACCTGCCTCTCTCACTTTCTGTTTTCCCTCCTGCAGCCCCTCAGTGCTGCAGAAGCTCAACAGGGTGGGGAGTGAATCAGAGTTAACATTTCAAGTCCAGTCACCCCTTCTTCATAATGCTGTCTGTCGCTTTTGCTGTCTTTGTGTGTGTATGCGTGTGTGTGTCGCTGTCTCGTTGTGTGTGCGTGTGTGTGTCTGTCTCTCTCGTTGTGTGTGCGTGTGTGTGTCTGTCTCTCTCGTGTGTGCGTGTGTGTGTCTGTCTCTCTCGTTGTGTGTGCGTGTGTGTGTCTGTCTCTCGTTGTGTGTGTCTGTCTCTCTCGTTGTGTGTGCGTGTGTGTGTCTGTCTCTCTCGTTGTGTGTGCGTGTGTGTGTCTGTCTCTCTCGTTGTGT